TCCAGTCTTTATTCTAAGCTAAGCTAACCAGCTGCTCACCATACATTCATACTGAATGGACAGTGAGAATGGTATCGATTTACAATGTGAGCTGTTTCCTGATGCCTCAACGCGCTTCTGCTGTTTTTGGGTATAACTCTATTCTTACAGTGGAAGGTTGTTATAAAGTTTTCTGTAAAGTGGCTTTGCTATTCATTCCTTTTGCCTTTTGTATAAACAGCAAAACAGTTTCAATCAAAACTTCTGTGCAGTGGTTGGGGTTCAACCTGCCATATAGGCGTTGTTTTAATATGAATATTTACTGCACACTCATGTCATATTGAAAAAAGAAAAAAAATGTTGCACTTGTTTGGGCTGACAGTGAAGTGAGCTGCTTCCTGCACATTTCCTTATGTTCAAATGATCTCTGGGTTCTCTCAAGGCCTCAGATGCCGGAGGACTGTTGTTCCTCTACTCTTTGGTGTCTCCTCAGTCCATTCAGTAGCTCAGCATTTGTTTTTGTCTGTCCCTTTTTTCTCTTTGCTCTGTTTTTTGGCTCTTTGTGCTGCCTGACTCTCAACAGTCACCAAAGCTGCTGCTGTCTTTGAATAGCAATCCTCCTCTGGTCCAAGGCAGACTTGGCTGCAGCACAACAGGCTTGTTTGTGGGTCTTGGCAGAGATGCTTGCAGACCTGAATGTACCTGCTAAGGCAAAAAAAAATAAAAATGTATAGTGTACTTGTGAATGTTAATGTTTGTATTTATGTTGTGTGTTCTAGGAAACGGAAGAAAGAGACAGAGAGAAAGAGAGAGAAAATGTGTGTATCTCCTGTTTTTACCTCAGGGGGTAAGAGAGTCAGCTGACCATGACCGGCCTAAGCAGACACATTCACACCACAGTCAGATCCTCTCTAGATCTTAGAGATCAGTCACTTACAGAGAATGCTTAACAAACATGAGCTTGACCTTGGCACACACATATGCAAAGTAATTCTGAAACATTTAAATAAAATCTGAAACTGCACGTACAAGTTTCGCCCTGAACCTCAAGCATTTTCCCAGCAACACAGTCAATTTCAACTACGTACAAAAACAATCTGCTCCGCACTGAATAAAGGCTGTCATACATATAGGATGTTTTATGTCGGAGCAAAATAGCAGGTAAAATTAATTTGACTTCATGGCCTCAGCAGAGTAAGGATGAGACTGAACAAACAGGGACCGCAGTATTATGGCATATTATGGCTAAAAAAATCAACACAGGAGGTAAGGCAGTATAAAGTATGGGCTGTTTTTCTGTTCACCCGCTCAGCATTCAACTTCCCTCGGTAGAGGGCACAGGTAAAGGTCACATTAAACATATATGGAGTTGCTCGAGGGGGAAACCACCTCCATGCAGTTCTCCAATTTATAAAGGGTCATGATAAAGCAAGATCTGGCCAGCAGCAGCCCTATAAATTACCTGGTTTATTTAGAAGGCACACATATTATTCTTAACTGTCAATTGCTCGGTAAAAGGAGCTCACATTTATTTAGCTGAAGGCTCAGACCACATGAAGAAGGACACTGGGTGAAATGTGAACTTGCGCAGCGAAATAGTAGAGGATGAGTGCTATGTACTATGCTGAGCTATGTGGTTTTGTGGTTCAATTTGGTTCCATGAGTGGCCTAGTTAGAAACGGAAAAACTTAATGTTGAGAGTGTGAAGAGGTTGTTGAGGGCAGGGTTGTTTCACGTTATGTTTCCATGAACAGCCAATCAAGTAGAGGGCATACCTGATGTAGAGTGCCTCAACAGTCAACAGCAGCTCCTCAGTGTCTAATTCCAGACGTTACATTTGGATTGTTTTAAATCAAAATCCTTTTTGGATCAATTTGTTACAGGCGTGTACAGATGCCCCTCCATTTGGCATAGCTTTTGGGACTTGAGTGCTGCTGGCTCCCAAACTGAGACACTGACAAAAAGCACAAAAGCCTTTGCTGGATCACAGGATTTATAACCAAAGACGCACGAGACAGTGCCAAATGATGTTAAAGAAATCAAAAGAAAAGCTAACAAGGATGAAGGAGGATTATGTCTTATCCCTAAACTTAAAGTTTACCATAAGCATTTTTTGATGCCACCTACTACTGCGTATATATAAGGCATTTAAGAGCATATGGAGATAAGAAAATTCAATACCGGTGTGACAATGTGTCACATATTTGGAATAGCGTACATTATTAATTCCAAATTCTTGCACTGTAAAACATCATACAGCAATTACAAAGAATCAATAATTTTTTTAGAGTAAAATAAATAATGCAAGTTCTATTCAGTTAAATTCAACACAATTAATTTGGTTTGATTTTCAGACCCATGTCAGAAAGTTGAATGTACTGCTATGCTCACTAAACTCACTGGTGAATCCCTGTTTTGTTTGTATCAAGCATGAGCATGATAATGCAGCTGCACACCCACGAACACGTGGGTATCGTAATTCCTTTTGATATTGCTGAGCTGGTTGTGGTAAAGCAAAAAGGCCAGTAAAGAAGGCCACTTGTACACAAACATGATGTTCTTTTACCTCGTAAACAAACATCACTTGTGTTTGTTTACAAGGATACTCCACAGGGCACCTTTAAGTTTTTTAATGAAACTCTTAAACTTAACTTAAAACTCTCCAGGGACCCTTCTTTCTTGTATTTTGAGGATATAAACCACATTGGCCACAAACACATGTTAAGTCACGCTTGTTTCCTCTGTTAGAAATGAAAACACTAACCATAATGAAGGTTAGTATTCAGGACCCAGCTGTAATCTAAGATAACTGACTCATCAAACTGAGAATGTAACTGGCAAATGGAAATGGACTAACTGAACATTTGTTGTTAAATTTACTGAATTTAATGTTTTGTCAAGTTCAGTAAACTTGGAAAACTCACTTTACATTTTTCACAACTAATGAGCCAACTTTAAATTAATTATTCAAGTTTACTTAAATTAACTCACAGCAGGGGGACGTAAGTTTTTAAGTTGAACCAGTTTTAAATTTGTGTGTAGGGTGCAAAACATTTGCACAAATGTATCAGGAAATAGTAGGAGTAATAGTCAGTCATTTAATATGTATGTATGGCATGGCTGAAAAGTTTTGGTGTGTGTACTCAATACAAGTTTCTGAGATGCCTGGGGATCGAATAGGGTGCATGTGCAAATGCACAGCTTTTGTTGTTCACAAAACTTTAGATTGGTGTCACACATAGGGATGATAAAAACAACCACAGAAAGTCAGCTGCACTGTAACATTGACCTAAATCTGGTGATGGTAGAAGTATTTCGATTCCTTCTTTAAGTAAAAGTACTTATAACACACTGTTGAAATACAAGTTAAAGTCCTGCATTCAAAATCTTGCGTAAAAGTAGATTAGTACTGTCCTGTCAGTGTTATTATTATTATTATTATTATTATTATTATTATTAATTATGATTATTATATGATTATTTATTATTATTATTATATTTTTTAAATAATATTACTACTGCGTTCGTGTGTATGTTGCATTTTACTGCTGTAGGTAAAGATTAAGGTTAAGGCTGAGCAGATTTTATACTGTTATACTGTTAATTTAATCTACAGCAATGCACTATATTCTATAAGATCATCATATGTCTGTAGGGTCGCTGTCCTGTGAGAACCACGTATCTCTAGAGTCAACTTTCATGAGCTCAGAAAAACAGCCCGGTTTTCAGCCTTATGACAATGCATTTTCCAGCTCATCCAAAAGGGGTTTTAAATAGTTTTTTAGCTTAAGAAGTAGGAGAATTTTCTCAACCCATAAAGGAACACTTTATATCATTGTTTCTGATATTGTTTCAATTTGTGCTTTTTAAAAATACATATGTTTTGTGGTCCTGGGGGACCCTAGTCAAAAGTGCCCAAGTTTGCCTATGCAGTTTTAATAGATGGAACTCATGGAGTTTATGTTTGAGTTAATTTTGTACCACAGGCCCTAATTGAAAGCATCACACATCGGGAGGTAGGAGCACTCTGGTATAATAGCTAACTGAAACTAAACTGGAAACTGAAACTAAGTCTAGGCGTGAAAAAACTATTTAAATAACTTAAAAAGAAAATTGAGATGTTTAGAAAAACTTAAAACTAACTAAAATATACAGAAAAATTAATCAATTAATCAGCATGATGTTTACATGACAGTGTATGTAATGTCTTCACAAAGTGCTGTGTTTGTATTGTAATAGCAATTCTTAACTTCTTAAATCTTGCATCTGACAATAGCCCGCATTTTGTAAGTTTTAAAACTAAGACACTGAAACTAAAACTAAACATTTTTATATAATAAAAACTAAACTGAAACGAGCTAACCCACTCTGGAAACTAACTAAAACTAAACTGAACTGAAATCGATAATTAAAAACTGAACTAAAAATTATGAAAAAAAAGAAACTATAATAACTCTGAACAGACACAGATTTCCTCATGTGCTCAGTCTATTTTTATTTTAACTGTAACTTTCCTAAAATAATAATAATGATCTGTTTTGGGGGGGGAAGTTATAATAACATAACTAATAATGTTTAGTGAAGAAATAAGTTTTGCTATGACTGGCTGTTTCTTTTACAGTAGTAGTTAATTCTTGGGATCCCCAGGGACCCCATTCAGAAGTCTTTGTATGTGGTAGGATGACTGCAAAAGAAGGGCATGAAAAATTGTAAGTAAAAAGTATAATATATCCCTTTGAGTGGAGTAGAAGTATAACGTTTCATAAAATGGAAATACTCAAGTACAAGTACCTTTAATTTGTACTTAAGTACAGTGAGTACATCTACTTAGTTCCATTCCAGTACTGCCTACATCTCTATCTTTGTTGCAGATCAGATCTTTTTTTTAATTATTTAAATCCAGTTATTTTGCTTCATATTCTAAAACTTTACAATGAATAAAGACAGTCTGTGAGAACTTTTTTTGTAAAATACAGTATATATAGTAAGTATATGATATATTTATATATACACACAATCAGTTTTCTGTCTTGTGAGCTTTATGTTGCATATCCACACATAAGCCACAAATAGATAAATAGTATTTAATGCCCCCTGTTCCTGTCTATTGTTATCATCGAATAGTCTCTTGCATGATTATCCACATCCTCTTTTTTCTTCCAGAAACCATCAAAAGAAAAGTAATACAACAGTGGATCCAGACAGCAGTTCACACTAGCAAGACATGTCAGTGGTATAATGGCCTGCTGCCAATCAATGAGAACACTCAATGACAAAGGAAAAAAAAACACGGTGAACATCAACAAGTTCAAGACAAAAATCAGCATGACATTCACCTTGTTGTTGACCTTTGCAGAGTCACTGAGACGTTTGCTTAGAGTCCAAAACACCAGAGCGGTGCACACAACATTGATAGTCAGCATGGTGAACACTAACACAGGCTGAAAATATTGTATTAGTGAACTGTGATCACTAGAATCATCAGGTAATTTAAAACAGGTAGCATTGCAGCCCGATTCAGTTAAGTTTTGTAAACGTTTTGAAAAGTTGATGCTCTCTGGGATGTTCACCACCACCACACACAGCCAAACGAGTGCGGCAGCTTTCCAGGCGTTGGAGGAGGTTCGGAGATGGCGTGACCTCAGGGGGAAAACCACAGCCAGGAGCCGATCCATACAGATGAAGGTGATGAAGATGGAACTGGAGCGGATGTTGTTGCGAAAGAGCATTGTGAACCAGATGCAGGCCATAGGGCCCAGTGCCCAGGTGCCGGTAGCGAAAAAGTAGACCCTCATAGGCAAAGAGATGACGAGCAGCAGGTCTGAGATTGCCAGGTTGACCATGAAGACAGCACTGGGGGATTGGAGGCTGTGGCGGCGTACCAATATCCACAGTGCCACAGCATTGAGAGGCAGACCCAGGGTCATTACAGATCCAAACACCAGAGCACATGCCATGTTCCTCGTTGTCGATTCTGTTACAGTTTCAGTCTCAGTAAAGTTACACATGTTTTCTGTGTGTGAGAAATTCAAACATGCAGGCGAGTAAATCTAACAGCGATAGAAACCCCACCAACTCTACCACTCGTGAAACAGACCTATCAAGATATGCGTACAGATAAAAAGAGGTTGTTGCTATAGGTTGAAGTGGCGGAAAATGTTGAAACAGGAAACAGCTTTGACAAGAACTGAAGTACTGTGGTGTTCAAGTGAAACAAGTAGTGTGGGAGTTTTTAGTACAGAAAGTTTTTTTTTCCCACGGCTGACACAAAAGAAACCACCATGTGTTTTGGATATCACTCTTATAAACCATACTCCATACGCCAATGCATATTTTGATGCATCTTTTATAGTTTCATACATTTTCAGCTCCTTACAGTGATTTGTCAATCAAAGGTGAATATGTGAGGCAAATATGGGGGTTCGGAGTGATTACAGGAAGTTTCACTCATTCTATTTTAGAGTCAAGTGTTAAAGAGATCAATTCTGTTCAAAAGGGTCTCATTTTTGTAAATTGTAGTATTACAGTACAGTCTACTGATACACTATCTGTACTGTATGTGCAGATAGAGGCTACTGAAGTTCCCTCTATACTAGAAATCATTGTAATTAAACAATGCCAATGTACACTAATCACTGGCTGAGCAGGGAGGAAAGAAATTACTATGATTATGTTGCCATTGGTGTGTGTCATGTGGCATTTAGCCAAGCACAGTGGTGTATATACATACCTCTTGTACAGTACAGTGTTACTACCTCTACTTACGCAGTGTACTTGCATTACATGCAGCTTCAATTCACTAACCTACACACAGTATTAATGAATAACTTAAATGGGGTTTTAAACAAATAAAGGATATATAAAAAAACTAGTTAAAGTCAAAATGGTTAAAGGCAAAAGGGACATGGTCTTACAGATGACAGTGGCCATGAAGTTGCACACACTAAATTCAGAGTTATCAAGACTATACTGTATATTCAGTGTATGATTTAGGATGAAAACAAAAGTACAGTCGTGCTAGCAGCTCTGTGAGGCTGCACTCAGGTGCAGCAGTGCCTGAAGCTGAATGCCAACGTCAGCATGCTTAACATGCTCACAGCAACAATGCTGATGTTTATCAAGCATCATTTACCATATTCACCATCTTAGTTTGGTGTGATAGCGAGATAATATTTGATAATCAGCACTAAACACAAAGTACAGCTCAGGCTGATGGAAATGTCGTTAGTTTGGCAGATTTGGTCAAAAACCAATGTATTGGAAAAAAAATGTGTTTTGAACCAATGATGTAGATTGATAAAAAGCTAAGGGATCACCAAATTTATTCCAGTTCATCCTGGGGGGAACATGAAGATGTACTAGAGAATTTATTAAGGTCTCTAGAGACCTAATAAATTCTCTAGTACACGTGAGGAATAGCTATGGTTAGTTTTATTCTAATTTGATACACTACAGAACATCGCATCCCGTTTTCGGGCACCTCGTTACTTTCCTCCTCACACCCTTAACTGATCATACCACACTGTTCTGCAAAGTTCACCACAGGCTTTGCTGCATATGCATTTCCACATTAAAGTACGGTTTTAAAATAACTACTGAACTAATGATTTCCTGCATAAGTCATACTCTCACATCAATCCACCTGTGCCTCCGTAACCCCAATGTGTGTACATAATATCTACATGCTTCTCTTGTAATTTTGTCCACCACATTCTCTTTTCCAGGTTGTCAAATATCCATGCCCTTTGTGTCTCATACAGACACAGAAGTACCTTATGAAAGACATGGTTTTACACATGGTTAATGTTGTGAAATTGTCTCAGTTTGATTAGAGTTAGGCTACACACCTGGTTAGGTTTAGGGAAAGACTGTGGTTTGGGTTAAAATATATAATAACATTATATATACATTATATGTAAGTATTTGACAACCTGGGAATGAGCATTTGTCAGACAGCAATTTTGCCACCACAGCCATAGTGTTGCACGTTCAAGATCTCTGCCTGTGAGTTCATGTAACGTTCACCAAGAACAGTACAGGAAACATTCACATATTGAGAAGTGAAACAAGTGATGGCTATTATCACTCTTGGTGGAGAACAGATGATAAGAAGTGTACAAACAAATGCAACACACCCTATGCACCAGCACTTTTGCTAGTGTTGCATTAGTATACGAATGCTATGCTATGTCACTGAAAGATGCTACAGGGATAAATGTTCTGAAAAAAGAGGGACATAGTTAAAATACGTGTTTGTGGAGCAACGCATCTTGCTCAGCAATTCATCAGTCTCAGAGTGGGTATTGTAACAGTCAGTCTAGTAATTGTGGTATTACTGCAATGCTTAATAGCACCTCCCTTGTTTTTATGTTTTGTATCAGAGATAAAAGTTGTACACACACACACACACACACACACACACACACACACACACACACACACACACACTATCCCCACCGACATGTCACGTATAACAATTTGAAGGCACAACCACAAACACATGTGGTTTACTGTCTCTTTTCTAACTACATACAGCACACTTTTATGTTCTCAAACTCATGAGCTCTGTGTAAAATATGAGCATAATTCATATTCACCACTTAAAAGCACAGACAAGAAATGTTGCAAACTTCTTCTATCTAAATGCATCTATATGCTCTCAGAATTGTTAATGCAATATAACTCATATCTTAAAGGAAGATATCTTAAAAGTGGATTTCCTAAATTGTCGAATGATTTTGTGTAAAGTTTTATTGAAATCGAAAGAGTAATTGACTAATTAAATCATCGTGTCTAATTATACATGCTTAACATATAAAACATACTTTACATACTTAAGGTTTGTAATAATATATCTCATTTAATCCATCTGAATTTTAAGATACATCACAACAAAATGCAGAAAAGCCAAAAGCATGGAATATTGTGCTGCAACATGTGCTCATACAGTGCTTACTGTCAGTATATTTCTCACTGTATGCACTGCATTACAGAAATAGCACACCTAAGGTATACCTAATGGATTACTTTTTCACATGTATGTGCGTATTATTAAATCTAGAAACACATGAGGATACTACAGAGGGAAAGTGAAGTATTTGTGTGTCACACCATAGCAGCAACTAGCAAACTTCACACCGTTCACCTTATCACCCAATCAACAATTTACCACTTAGGCTCTTATTCCTTCAAACTCTTTCAGCTTTAACCTTTTGAATGATTGAAATCAAAATGGCTGCTGTGGTGACGGCAATTATGTGATTTTGCCTGACTCACGCTTAAATAAAAGGTGGGGACCCTTTTGGGAGTATCAGGCTGGAAGGCTCATCAATGAATGCAGGGCACAAGAGAGCCTAAATTGATTTCTCTGGTAAAAGCAAGGATGCCATTTCTCTGGGCCCTAATATTTAAGAAACCTGAGTGCTTCTCAGGACAGATAATCTTTGTTATTAGTGCTGCAGGTAAAAACACTGCTTTAAAATGCTAGGCCTGCTGCTAGTGTAGACAGCTAGATGGACAGGGAGAGTAAGGAGAGGCAGGCGAGTGTTTGTATGCAACAAGGCAGAAAATCTAGTATACTCTGTCTCTCCTTGTTACTTCTAGTCTGCTCTTATTCTTTTTTTAAATTCTGTTTTGTCTGCCTGTTGATTGTTCAGGTAATCAGGTCAAAGTGTGATTTCATATGAAAGAAAATAAGCACAAAAGAAAAAATGGAAGAAATAATATTAGGTCCATAAGATTGCGTATTAACAGCTCTAACCAGCTCTAGCATTTAAACTCTCACCACACTGGCTTAAGCTGACGATACTGTAAGCTACATGTGCTCAGCAAGAAACAACATAGAGCTACAGATAATGAGTGACTAGTAAAGAAAGTTGGAAGTAAGCCAACAAGAAGACAAGATTTTTTCTCATGAGTTGGTGGGCAAAACTTCCACCAGTGAAACACCACTAAATAATGGACTGGCATTCAACAGGTGGTGAGACACAAAAATCTAATGTAGCCCTGCTTCCCCTTAGTGGTCAAAAATCACTTGATACAAGGCTGACATTGAAATCATTACAAACTAAGAGATTTTAAAAGATGAATAATCAATATTTTCAGCTATGACTCAGAACTCAAGCTTTAAAGTTTTAAAAGGTCCAGTGTGTAACATTTACGTGGATCTCTTGACAGAAATGGAATATATCATTCATAGGTATGTTTTCATTATTATCTATCCTAATCCTAGAGTCCACCATGTTGAGCCATCATGTTTCTACAGTAGCCGAGAAACCAAACCAAACACTGGCTGTAGATAGGAACTTTGGAGGCCACCGTACATTCTCCTACACGCTTGGAACTGCAACTTTTCCGCAAATGGTCCAATCATTGTAGCTTTTTGCTCTACTTTGCAGTCGCCCCCTCTCGTGGCCCAATTGTTGAAAAACGTGTGCTAAAGTGCCCTCTTGGGAGCCAAAACGTTGCTAAAGTGCCCTCTTGGGAGCCAAAATGTGTGCTAAACTGCCCTCAAGTGCCCCTCTTGGGAGCCAAAATGTGTGCTAAACTGCCCTCAAGTGCCCTCTTGGGAGCCAAAACGTGTGCTAAAGTGCCCTCTTGGGGGCCAAAATGTGTGCTAAACTGCCCTCAAGTGCCCTCTTGGGAGCCAAAATGCGTGCTAAATGCCAATGCCTTTGGGAGCCAAAACGTGTGCTAAAGTGCCCTCTTGGGAGCCAAAATGTGTGCTAAACTGCCCTCAAGTGCCCTCTTGGGAGCCAAAACGCGTGCTAAAGTGCCCTCTTGGGAGCCAAAACTCGCTAAAGTGTCCTATTTGGAGGCAAAATACACTAAATTGCCCTCTTGGGTGGAAAAAACACTCAACTGCCCTCTTCTAAGTTCTATTATTACTATTGCATGTTTAAGGAGGCGCTACCTCACTACGTCTTGTGGGAATAGCTTTTTTTTTTTAAAGTTGTGTTAGCATTATATATCAGGGTTTACGCCAGGTTTAAGTTGACTCCCCGATGCTTTCTTGAAAATGCCTTTTAAACTTCAGCTTGTAAGTTAAGGACAGAAAGTCTTGTTAGTAGGCTATGCTATTGAGTAGGCTAGTGGCTAATGCTAGCAGCTAGTTGAGAGGGAGAGAGAGACCAGTGTGATGATCAGCTAAGTAGAACAGAGCTGGGTGAGCATTATAAACTGTGAATGTAGCTTTAGT